ACCGGGCCTCTAGTTAGTATATAAAGTGTTTGGTAAATAGGCAGTCAGCAAATGATAGCTACATTATTATGTGCTGCTAGTAGGCTGCATAGTGAAGAAAGCACAGATCTTGTGTATATAGACCAAGGTTTGAATCCTATTTCTGATATTTACTAGTTAGATTTCATATCCTTCTCCTGAAAATTAACTATGTTACCCTTTGAATTACTACCTAGGCAGTGTGCATGAGAATTAGGAGCACAACCTCTGGAGTTTTAATCCTTGTTTACTCTGTAACCTTGAATAAGTTATCTAACATTTTTGAGACCCAGTTCCCCCATCTGTACAGTAGTAGAAATAATAATAGTACCAATTTCCTAGGTTTGCTGTGAGGATTAAGTGAGTTAGTTTCTATCAAATGGTTAAAACTATTTCTGGAAGACACTAACATCTCAATAAAAAGTAGCTATTGTTATCCTAGAATGTTTTCCACATTCATCATCTCACAATATCCTGTGAAAGTTGTATTCCCATTCTCATTTTATAGGTAAGGAAAGTGAGGCTTATTCATGTAGGTAGTAATTGACAGAGACCAAACTAAAATGTGTCTGCTTAGTTGCTATAATGTCTCCCTCCCCTGCTCCACTTTAAACACTGATACCTACACTAATTCTCAGTGCTTTTCTTAGAATGCCATGCAATGTGATTAGTATGTCAAGAACTCACTCTGGAAATTTCTAACTATAGATTAATTCTCTACCAAGATGCCAATGGGCTTTGACTTGTCTAGTTGTTAGAGGAGATGACTTCTGAACATTCAGCAATATATCAACTCCTGTGAAAGCTAGACCCACCACTTTCCTGCTTTGCAGAATTCATTGAGCATTTTCTTTCCTGGAAATCAGAATTATCTTACTTTGCACATTTGTTTGTGCTGTCAACATGCTTTCCTCTTTGTCTGGTCTAATCAGGTAGAATTTAAAGCTCTAAAATAATTTCCACAAACACATTTGCAACCCAGAAAAGTTGGCTAAAATGACTGCAAAAAGAATCCTAATTCTTTATTGACTTCTATTATAAGGTTGAAGGCATATTCCCATGGAAACTGTCCCCACAACAAGCTGAATAAAAAGCTTTTAGTGAAACCTTAGCTTGTTTGGCTCAGTGGACAGAGCATTTGCCTGTGGACTGAAGGGTCCCAGGTTCGATTCCAGTCAAGGGCACATGCTTGGGTTGCAGGCTCAATCCCCAGTAGAGGGTGTGCAAGAGGCAGCCAATCAATGATTCCCTCTCCGCATTGATGTTTCTATCTCTCTCTCCTTGTCCCTTCCTCGCTGAAATCAAGAAAAATATACATTTTTTTAAAAGCTTGTGGTAAAGTAAAATATACTGTGTTGTCAAGGACTGGACAAGACTGGAAAGTGTGTGAAATGATGTACATTAAAACAAAGTGCTATATAAATAGAAGATAGTACAAGTAGTCAGCAGTACAGGCATTCAATCTTGTTCCCATAGCCATGCTTACCTACTTTCAACTTCTGAAAAGTAGTAGGACCCTCCCTACCTTAGGATTTTGTAAACTACATTCCAAACCCCACTTCCCAGCATGGTCATTAGCACTTCTTATCATGCTTTGTTGCTTTTTTATTTCCATAGCACTTACCATGTAACATACAAATTATTCTACATATTTATGTTGTTCATATTTGGCCCCTCTCCAATTAGAATGTAACCAACACAAGAACAAGGATTTGGTCCAGTTTTCTTTTCACTATGGTTTCCTCAGCACCTGGAACAATGCCTGATACATAGTAGGTGTTCAGTAAACATTCATTAAATAAATGAGTAAACAAATGAACAAACAAATGATGAATGTTGCTCTCTCTGCCTAAAAGATCAGCTCTCTGTCTCAACACCCTGGTTAACTTCTCCACAGCCTGTAAAATGCAGCTTCCTCAAGCAAGCTTTCTTGCCACAACCTTAGAGTTGGTTGAATCCTCCTATTGAACCTCACAGCAATTTATACATTTCCTACAGATCACAATTGCAATTAAATAAAATTCTATGGAAAGATGATGGCTGGGAGGATAGCAATGAGGAGGAGAGTGTGAGTGAGTGAGGGAGTGAAAGGGGAGTGTGTGGATGTGTAGTGTGTGTGTCTGTGTGTGTGTCTGAGAGAGGGACAGCTAGACCTCACAGGACTTTTGGGGGCTTGCAGACCAGGCTCACATAGCCGGGCAGCTTCTGCTACTGTTGTAATCTCTCCCAGAGCACGGGCTCTGCCACAGAGGCAGCGCCATGTTGAAGGGAAGAGCCAACAGCTGCTGCCTACAACTGCATGGAGCCAGAAGCCACAACCTGTGACCACACTCATAAGGGGAGCTAGCAGACGCCACCTGCAACTGCACAGGGAGCCAGCAGCCACTGCCCAAGACTGCGCATACATGTAGGGAGCCAGCAGACGCCACCCGTGACCACACAGGATCCAGAAGATGCCACCAGTGACCACACCAGGAGCCAGCAGCCACTGCGTACATGTGGGGAGCCAACAGACACCACCTGCAACCGTGAGGGGATCCAGCAGCCACTGCCCTTGACCTCGCACATGTGGGCAGGGAACCAGAAGCCGCTGTCCATGACCTCACAGAGAGCCGGAAGCTACTGCCCACGACCACATGCATGCACAGGGAGCCAGCAGATGCCACCCACGATCATGTGGGGAGGCAGCAGCCATTGTCCACAACCTCATGGGTAGCTAGCGGCTGACTCCCATGACCGAGCATGAGGAGAGCCAGCAGCCATTTCTTGCAACCATGTGGGGAGCCAGCAGCAGCCCTATGACATCCAGGGAGCAGCTGGCAACCAAGTGGAGAGCAGGCACCGCCCACAACCACCCTAGAAGCAACCACTGCCCCATGACTACTAGAGAAGCAGGCGCCATCGGTGACCACACGACCTGCCACCAGGCCCTCTGCTATAGCCTCAGTCCACATGCAATTCAATAACTAGATTTTTCAGTGAGAGCAAAAATGCGAAGACAGAAGAACAACCCCAAAAGAAAAGAAAAGGCAGATCCGCCTGAAACGTAACTAAATGAAACAGAGGCATGCAATATGTCAGAAAAAGAATTCAGAATAAGGGTCATACAGTTCATAAACCCAATGGATGAGAAAATCAACAAACTATGTAAGAAACAAGAAGAAATAAAGAGTGATATAGTTACAATAAAAAAAACATTATGGGAGCTTTCAACAGTAGACTAGGAGAATCAGAGGATCGAATTAGCAAATTAGAAGATAGGTAAGCAAAACACTCCCAATCTGAACTACAATTGGAGAAAAACATCAAAAGACAGGAGAGAGGATGAGGAAGCTTTGGGACAACATGAAACAAGCAACATACGTATAATAGGAGTGCCAGAATGACAAGAAGAAGAGCAAGGGATAGAAAACCTATTGGAAGAAATAATGTAAGAAAACTTCCCTGATTTGGGGAAGAAAAAAGCTACGCAAGCAGAGTCCCAAAGAATATAAACCCAAAGAGATCCACACCAAGACACGTCGTAATTACAATGGCAAACATTAATGACAAAGAAAGAATCTTAAAGACTTCGAGACAGAAAGTTACCTACAAGTGATCACCCATTAGATTATCAAATGATTTCTCAATAGAAATACATCAGGCTAGAAATGAATGGAAGTATACAAAGTGATGCAAAGTAAGGGACTGAATCCAAGAATACTCTATTTAGCAAGGCTATCATTCAAAATTGAATGTGAAATCAGGAGTTTCACAGACAAATAAAAGTTACGGGAGTTTATCACTACCAAGCCAGTAATGCAAGAAATGCTAAAGAGACTGTTGTAAAAAGAAGGAAAAAAAATAAAAAGGGAGAAGAAACACAGGCAAAAAATTAAAAATGGGTACAAACAAGTACCTATCTATCCTATCTAATAATAGAGGAACATGGTAATTAACCGTAACTTCACTATCCTTCCCATTGGCTAATCAGGGCGATATGCAAATTAACTGCCAACCAAGATGGCGGCCGGCAGCCAGGCAGCTGAAGCGAACAGGAGGCTTGGTTGCCTCGGTGATGGAGGAAGCCAAGGTTCCCCACCTGCTGCCACCTGCCGCCCGGCTCTGATCTCCTGAAGCAACAGCTCTAAAAGATACAATGTTTCAATTATAGAAGCTAAAAGATGGCAGTTAATTTGCATACGCAGGCTCCAAGTGGTGGAGCGAGGCCAAACAGCCCTGAAGCCGCAGAGCAGCGAGGCCTCAGGGCCCCGGGATCAGCGGAGTGAAGAGGCATCCTGGCCCCAGGATCAGTGGAGCGGAGAGTCCTCCCAGCCCTGGGATCAGCGGAGCCGCGAGTCCTCCCAGCCCCGGGATCAGTGAAGCCTGATGGAAGCCCTGTGTGTTTATGCACTCTGGGGGTGCAGAGGTCCCATCCTAGGTAGAGACCAATGGGGCAACTTCTAACTCCGAGAAGTGGCCTGGGGGCTGGAAGGCAGCTCCTCTGACCTCAGTGCTAGAGTCCCGCCGCTCCACCAGGAGAGGAGCAGAGAAAGGCCAGAGCCTCCCTCAAGGTGACCCGAAATCCCCACCCACACCAGGCAGGCTGTTGGAATTGTGCGTGGAGGACTCACCTCCAAGCCCAACTCATGGCCCTACCACAGCAATGGCACTCCTGGGTGCAGGCCCCAGCAGGACATGGGGTAGTGGCGGGGGTGCTGTGAGTCCTGGGCTCCTTGCCTGCCTTCCGCGGCTTCCTCCTGTGTCAGGGCCTTTCCCTCCACGGCCTCCTCCTCCCCAGTGCCCAGAACAGCGGACCCACTGAGGGCGCTCCCCACTGGCTGAGGGGGTGAATGGAGCAGCAGGGACTCCCGGGTGAAGGGTCGCTCTAGGGAGGAGTCCAGACACCTGCACGCCCCGCTCCTGGAGCACTGCCCAGGCCCTGAGCGCAGCGTGGAGCCGAGCCGCGCAGGCCTGGAGAGCGCCGTTGGGGGCAGGCGTATATGCACCTGGTGCAGCGGGACATGCTGGGGAGCCGCCCACCTTCTGGGGCCTCCTCCTGCTTCAGGGCCTTGCCCTCCTGGGTGCAGGCCCCAGCGGGACATGGGGTGGTGGCGGGGCACAATGCGTCCAGGGCTCCTCGCCTGCCTTCCACGGCCTCCTCCTGCTTCAGGGCCTCGCCCTCCGTGGTCTCCTCCTCCCCAGTGCCCAGAGCAGCGGACCCACCGAGGGCGCTCCCCGCTGGCTGAGGGGGTGAATGGAGCGGCGGGGACTCCTGGGTGAAGGGTCGCCTTGGGGAGGAGTCCGGACACCTGCACACCCTGCTCCTGTTCAGCAACATCCCTGAGATCCCGAATCTGCACCGTGGGCTGTGGGGCAGCGTGATGGCGCAGATGGTGGAGAAAGTGCTGCGCACGTGGGCACTGCTGCAGCCCAGGACCTCCTCAAAGGCTTTGAGATATTCAGCTCCCTCTTCAAGCCCTACATCCGGTACTGCATGGAGGAGGAGGGCTGCATGGAGTACATGCCCAGCCTGCTGCACGACAACGACCTCTTCTGGGCCTACGTGACGTGGGCCGAGAAGCACCAGCAGTGCCAGCGGCTGAAGCTGAGCAACATGCTCGCCAAGCCCCACCAGCGGCTCACCAAGTACCTGCTGCTGCTCAAGTCGGTGCTGAGGAAGATGGACGAGCTGCATGCCAAGGAGGCCATCATCACCATGATCAGCTCCGTGGAGCGCTTCATCCACCACGTGAACGTGTGCATGCGGCAGCAGCTGGCAGCCGTGGTGAGCCGCATGGACACCTACGAGGTGGTGGAGGGTGGCAACGACGAGGTGGACAAGCTCCTGAAAGAATTTCTGCACCTGAACCTGACCGCGCCCATCCCTGGTGCCTCCCCGGAGGAGACGTGTCAGCTGCTGTTGGAGGGCAGCCAGAGGATGAAGAAGGGAAAGCACAGAAAGATGGATGTGTACTGCTTCCTCTTCATAGACCTACTCTTAGTGACCAAGGCAATGAAAAAGGCTGAGAGGACCAAGGTCATCAGGCCACCACTGCTGGTGGACAAGATCGTGTGCCGGGAGCTGCGGGACCCTGGCTCTTTCCTCCTCACCTACCTGAACGAGTTCCACAGCGCCATGGGGGCCTACACATTCCAGGCCAGCGGGCAGGCTCTGTGCCGGGGCTGGGCGGACTCCATTTACAATGTCCAGAACCAGCTGCAGCAGCTGCATGTGCAGGAGCACGCGGGCAGCCAGCAGCACCTGCAGAGCCTGAAGGAGGAAGAGGAAGAGGAGGGTGGGGAGAGTAGCACTTCCGCTGCCAGCCCCCCCACCATCCTGCACAAAAGCAGCAACAGCCTGGACTCTCAGCACTGCACCTCCAACGGCTCCTTGGAGACCCTGGCCATGGTGGTGCTGGAGCCCGGGAGACGCTCTCCTCTACTGAGTTCGAGGGCGGCCCCTTCAGCTCCCAGTCGGGCGAGATGTTCCTCAGTACCACCGCCTCATCTGTCACACCGACCAGTGAACTGCTGGCCCTGGGCCCCAGGGAGAGCAGCTCCTGCTCCAGGGACTCCACCTACAGCACCCTCTTCCCTACCTCCTTGCAAGACTTTGCGACCCCAGCCCCTGTGGTGGAGCCAGCACCCCGCCCCTAGATTTACCACAGGCCCCTTCACCCCCGCCCTCACCCTGCCTCCGCTGCCGCACCCCTGTCCAGCTGCTCCACAGCCTGCCCCACCTGCTCAAGTCCAAATCTGAGGCCAGCCTCCTGCAGCTGCTGGCAGGGGCCGCCACCCAGGGGTCGCCCCCAGCCCCCAGCCACAGCCTGTCTCTGCTTGGCTGCCACAGCCACCGGCACTAGGACTCGGGGCTCCCCTCAGGAAGCTGGGCCCCGCTGGAATTGCGGGGGCACACCAAGCCCTGGCAGTGGCTCCCAGCTATCAGAGATGGAGGGCAGGACCACCTGCCTGGCGGGGGGGCCCAAAGGGCCTGCCAGGAGGAGCAGAGAGCTGCCCTCAGGGACCTCCCCCAGGGTCCTGCCTGAGCCGCACCCACCCCCCCCCAATCTCTGCCCAGCACAGGAAGCTGACCCAGCTGGCCCAGCTCTACTGCATCAGGACCACACTGCTGCTTAACTCCCAGGCCCTGAGCACAGCGTGGAGCCGCCATGCTTGGAGGGCACGGTGGAGGGGGTGGGGGCGGGCGTGTGAGCCTGGTGCAGCAGGACTTGCTGGGGAGCCGCCCGCCTTCCTGGGCGGGCCTCAGGCCCGGTGCCCAACCTGTTAGGGCCACAGTGCGGCCACCAGGCCCTGAAGGCTGCCCTGAAAGCCATACAAAGACAACCTGCTGCTGGAGGGCAGGCATGCGGTGCTCTGTGAAGACGCCGCAGGTAGGGAAGGAAGGTCATGGAAGGGAACAATTACAAGCGGAGATTCCAAAGGTTCTGAAAGCAGAGGACCAGCTCCCTGCAGACCTGAACTCCATGTGGGCCTCTTTCTCGGCCCTGTGGAAGTGGTGCGACACACAGGAGGAGGTGATGGACCGGGGCTGCGCCCAAGGAAGACTCGGAGGAAGCAACGTGTGGACAGGGCCAGGAGGAGCAGGCAGGCCTGTGCGGAGCCTGCTGGAGCACAGCCAGACCCCAAGGCTGAGATAGAAATCGCAGGGTGGCGGGGCTCAGCCAGGGTGGAAAAGTACTGAACATAGCTTGTAACTTGAATCAGACATAGGGGAAGACCAGACTTGAAAAACAAGTCAAGATAAGGGTGCCGTCTGGGGAATGAAGGAAGTTGAGCAAAGCCTGTCAGGGAGAAGAATAGCCTGAAAAACAGCAGGAATTCTGCCTGGCCCTCGCCCGGGGGGTGGGCTGTTAGTTCAGTAGCCAAACAATAGAAATAGGACAGAACCGCCAAGGTCGGGAGGGGTGATAAAAGGAAGGACTGCCCCTCCGCCCTTCGGCCTTCGCCTGGTGATTGCCTGCTGCTGTGTCAGCTACAGCAGGGGCCCAGATTCGAATCTGTAATCAATAAATGTTTGCTTGCTCTAACTAATTATGAGTCGGTGGTCTGTCTCTGGGGAACTCGCTCCGTAACAAAGGTGACCACCAAGCCAGGCCCAGGGAGAAGCGAGCAGATGCCACTCCACTCGCTGGAGAAGACCATTGAGCAGAAAACTAAAGAAACAGATTTTACATCATTTCCCAGGTGGAGAACAGTTGGCATGTAAGCCCCTGACCAGTGCCGAGCCTCTCCTCTGTCTATCTCACTCTTAGGTACCATGTTCTTTGTTCTCTCTTAACTGCAACTCATTTTTAAACTAGATTGCTTTTAAAAGAAGACTAAATAAAGTTTCCCTTAAGTTATTTAGGTGGTGCTGGGGCTGCTGGGGCTGCTGGGGCTGCTGGGGGCCGGATTACAGACACAAACATGCAGGGGAGCCCGGCACCCAACAGCCCCAAGCCCCGCTGAGGCAGTGTTGGGGCTACTGGGGGCTTGATCGGAGACACAAACCTGCAGGCTTGGCACCCAGCAGCCCCAAGGCCCACCATCTCGGTGCTGAGGCTGCTGAGGGCATGATAGAAGACACAAACACGCAGGGGGGGGCCTGTAACCAGCATCCCAAGGCCCACCACCTTGGTGTTGTGGCTGCTGGGGCCCTGATCGAAGACACAGATCCGCAGTCCCAGCACCCAGCAGCCCCAAGCCCTGCCATCAAGGTGCTGGAGCTGCTGGGGGTATCAGAGACACAAACCCGCAGACCCAAGGCCTTCGCAGCAGCACTTAGGAGCAGCAAGCTGAGCGGTAGGAAGCAGCAAGCAGGTAGGTGGTAAGAAGGGAGGGGTCCTGGACTGCGAGAGGGCACAGGCTGGGCTAAGGGACCCCCTACTCATCCCCAGTGCACAAATTTCATGCACCGGGCCTCTAGTCTATATATAAAAGCCTAAGTGAACTTTAAGACAAAACGACTGGAACAACCAGTTGCTATGATGTGTGCTGACCACCAGGGGGCCGACACTCAATGCAGGAGCTTCCCCCAGCCTGCAGGCCCTGATCGCCAATAGAGCATGTAGGCCAAGCTCCTGCTCCATCCCCCAGGTCGGCAGGCCCTGACTACCCAATCGGAGCAGTGCCCATGGGCTAGGACAGGCAATCAGAGGTGGGTGGCAGTGGATGCAGTCCCTTTCCCAGAGGGGCCAAGGGCCAGCTCCCTCCTCAGGGCCAGCGGCCAACCTCCTGGGTTTCTCCCTCATTCCTCCCCCCAGGCAGCAGACCCCGATTAGCCCACCACCCGTACACCACAGTGGTGGTTAGCCCCTCCCACTGGCCGGCAGACCCCAATCACCCAAATGGGGCCTGCCAGCCAACTTCCTGGTCCCTCCTCCCAACCAACAAGTCTTGATCACCCAATAGGGACCAGGCCCTAGGCTGGGATGGGGAACCAGGAGTGAGTGGTGGCAGATGTGGGCAGTGAGGGAAGGAGTAAAGCAGTGAGGAAGTGGGGAGACAGGGAACTGCATGTTGGCAGCACATGGGCGGCGAAGGAAGGAGGAGGCAGGGAGGTGTGGAACTTGATCAGCCCTGATTGAAAGCCAGGCCTAGGGACCCCACCCATGCACAAATTTCATGCACCAGACCTCTAGGCAATAATAATTTTAAATGTAAATGTACCAAATGCTCCAATAAAAAGACAGCAAGTGGCTGAATGTATAACAGAACATGACCAATATATTTGCTGCCTACAAGAGACCCACTTCAGAACAAGAAACTCACATAGACTGAAAGTAAAGGGGTAGAAAAATATCTTTCAGGCAAATGGAAATGAAAAAAAAAAAGCTGGGGTAGCAATACTGACAAACTCGACCTCAAAGCAAAGGCCATAACAAGAGATAAGGAGGGACACTTTATAATACTAAAGGGATCCATACAACAAGAGCATATAACTCTGGTAAACATATATGCACCCAATGCAGGAGCACCCAAATACATAAAGAAATTGCTAGAAAGTATCAATGGAGAGATTGACAACAATACAATCATAGTAGGGGATTTTAATACACCACTGACATCACTGGAGAAAATCTGTAGACAAAAAATCAGCAAAGAAATAGCTATCCTAAATGACTCACTAGATCAAATGGACTTAATTGACATCTGCAGAACATTTCATCCCAAAGCTACAGAATATACATTCATTTCAAGTGCATATGAGTTATTTTCAAAGATAGATCACATATTGGGACACAGGCAAAGTCTCTCGAACTTCAAGAAGATTCAAATCATATCAAGAATCTTCTCAGATGACAATGGCATAATATTAGAAGTAAACTACAATAAAAACAATCAAAAAAATTCAAACACTTGGGGGCTGAGTAGCTTGCTATTAAACAATGATTGGGTTATCAAAGAGATCAAAGAAGAAATTAAAAACATCCTGGAAACCAATGACAGTGATAACACAACAATCCAAAACCTATAGGACACAGTGAAAGCAGTCCTGATGGGGAAGTTCATAGCATTACTGGCCTACCTCAGAAAACAGGAAAAACTAATAATAAATTATCTAACTCTACAGCTTAAAGAATTTGAAAGAGAACAACAAGAAAAGCCCAGAGTGAGCAGAAGAAAGGAGATAGTAAACATCTTAGCAGAAATAAATGACATAGAGTCCAAAAAATCCTCAAAAAACAGATCAATGAAACCAAGAGCTGGTTCTTTGAAAGGATAAACAAAATTGATGAACCTCTAGCAGGATCACCAAGAAGCAAAGAGAGAGGACCCAAATAAACAAAATCAGGAAAGAAAGAGGCAAAATAACAACAGACCCCACAGAAATACAAAAGATTGTTTTTAAATACTATGGACAACTCTATTATAATAAACTACACAACCTGGAGGAAATGGACATATTCCTAGAAAAACACAACCTTCCAAAACTTAATCAGGAAGATTCTAAAAACCTCAAGAGGCCTATAACTATGGAAGAAATTGAAGCAGTCATCAAAAATCTTTAAGCAAACAAAAGCCTGGGTCCAGATGGCTTTACAAGTGAGTTTTTCCAACCATTCAAAGAACTAAAACCTATTCTTCTCAGACTGCACCAAAAAATTCAAGGGGAAGGCACACTTCCTAGCTCTTTCTATGAAGCCAGCATTACTCTAATCCCAAAACCAGATAAAGACACTACAAAGAAAGAGAATTACAGGCCAATATCCCTCATGAACATAGATGCTAAAATCCCCAACAAAACTGTAGCAAATTGGATCCAGCATCTATTTATATTAAAACACTGGCTGTAACTCATCATGTCTGAATCTCGACCAACCAGAAGGAAGTCAGTCCTGCAGGGGTCATCTTGGCAACAGCTGCACCCTCCCTGAGCTGTTTCCTGTGAGGCCTGAGGGAAGAACCCACCCTCGGAGTGCCAGGAGCTCCCAGAGACAGTCAGTCCTGGGTTGCTGAGGTGGAGGCCATGGCGTGGTAGAACTCTGTGTCTGGCCCAACAGGGGGCATGGCCGGCCTTCAAACCAGACCCTGACAGTAGGGAGGAGGGAGCCCCATTCCTCACAGAATCGACAGGTGGCTAGCTTGCTCTCAGGGGCCTGACAGCTAGGAATCCTATTCACCTGCATATCTGTATAAAGTTTTAATACATTATATTAGAGGTCGTGGTGGTACTGTTTTACCCACAGCGTCTACAGGAATTCCTGCAAATTTACTTCTCAGTGGAAGCACCTTTCATTCCCAATATAAACTACCAATTCCATTAAATGAAACTTCAATTTCTAGACTTGATATAAACAGTGAAGTTGCTAAAACTATTAAAAAGGCCCAACTTCTCATTATTGATGAATGCACCATGGCATCTAGTCATGCTATAAATGCCATAAGCAGATTACTAAGAGAAATTATGAATTTGAATGTTGTATTTGGTGGGAAAGTTTTCCTTCTTGGAGGAGATTTTCGACAATGTCTCAGTATTGTATTGCATGCTATGCGATCAGCCATAGTATAAACAAATTTAAAGTACTGTAATATTTGGGGATGTTTCAGAAAGTTGTCTCTTACAACAAATATGAGATCAGAGGATTCTGCTTATAGTGAATGGTTAGTAAAACTTGGAAATGGCAAACTTGATA